GGGCACACCTGGGGCTGGGCTGAGGGCGTGTGCAGAACGACTCAGGCCTTGGCGGTGGTCAGAAGACATGCCATGGGTCCCCCTCTGCCTCCTTGTCATGGAGTCACCCGAGGCAGGAAGACACAGGGCGGGGAGGCTCCAACTTGTGGGGACAGAGAGAGCTGGAAAGTCCTTCAGACCACATCCTGGCTGGAGCCCGCCATGCCCACCTCCTCATCTGCACCTGAGGCCCCACCACCCAACCCGTGGTCTCCCAGGGGCCCTGAAGCAAAGCCTTCCCTAGGGAAGGAGCCTCGGGCCCACAGTCGCCCATGGCTCCTGAGGGGCTGGCTGCCTCCAGGCAAAGACAAGGTACCCCGGGTCTCGGGGCTCCTTCCCCCACAGCAGCCCCAGAAAGCTTTCCAAAGCACTCCCGAGCCCCCAAGGAACGCCCTTCTCCCTGGGGTGACATTGCTGGGGCTGCCCACGGTCAGTCCCCTCTTCCTCACCAGAAAAATCCCAAGCAGAGGGCTGACCTGGGATAAGGCAGCCATGGTGACCCTGAAGCCACCTCCTAGGTCACACGTCCCTGATCAGGATGCACTCGGGGTTGCCACGAAGAGAGGCTCCAGGAGCCAGTTCTGCCTCTGCCCCGCCCCCTGCCCTGTCCTGCATCTTCAGCAGGTGCCCCGCAGGACATGAGGGCCAGAGCTGAGGTGCCACCTCAGGCGTGTGGCCAGGACAGCACACACAAAGCCGCCCAGAACAGGATGACGGCGGCTCGTGGAGAAATGGCTGAATTGACCCACCCTGGAGGTACCCTGTGTGCAGCCTGGCGTCCCAGATGGCTACACACTGTTCCAGTTACAGCCACGACCGGGAGGGCTCTAACTAGTCCCAGCTCGCTGCCGCATCCCCTGCCTCAAGCCGTCTGTGGGGCCTCCAATCCACAGCCAGCCGCGGTCTTCTCCAGCCAGCGGCCCGCACCTCCCGCAGTGGGCAGCCCCTTCCTTGGCGAAGCCTCCCTGCCCCCGACGAGATGGGCCCTTTGGTGAGGTGGTCTCCACGGCAGTCGCCTCTGTAACCACCACCAGTCTGTGGGCCCCGTGGAGACAGGGGCCTCGGCCTCAGGCACACTGTCCCCAGCCCCTCACCCGCAGGATGGGCACATGGGCAGAGCTTGCCTCCGTGCCGCGGATGGCGTGCGGACTCCAGGCAAGGTGCGCAGTGCGGGGCACAGGTATCACTCCCGGCCAGCCAGGACCGCGCGCCCATCTCAAGAAGCTCAGGCTGGGGGCTGTGGACAGGGGTGGACGCAGGGACCAGGTGGAGGTCAGTGCAGGGCGGCCGTCCAGGCGCCGGGCGGGCTCCGTGGCCACATCCAGAATGTACTTTGTGAGTGGACAGTCAATGGTCCAGAAATCCGATGGGGGGACCCCGGGGAGCCCCCAGGGTCAGCTGGGCCATGAGGCTGCGACTCAGGGCTCTAACAGCACTTTCCACCTGCCATCTTCAGACCCCGGGCCAGGGGGATGAGCCCGCCCCGCCTGCCTTCTCCCAGCTTCCGCCCCGCTCTCGAGGGGGCCAGCACGGACACCAGCCCCTGTCCTGCAGGCCAGAGCTACCCTGCACGTCAGGCTGCTGTCTCAGGGCAGGAGTCTGGCACGGTCACCCCACAGGAGGCCCCACACCCAGGCGGGCAGCACCCCCCGGGGCAGGCCCAGAACCATGGGATGCACGGCCGCTTAGAAGCATTCAGGCACAAGGCCCGTGAGCTGGGACTCAAAAGGGCACGGCCCCCAGCAGGGGGTGGGGGTGGCTGGAGCAGGGACGTCCAAGAGTCCAGCAGATCCCCTCGGGGGAGAACAGGCTCAGAACAGCAGGCTGGCCGAGGGGGACGTGAGAACCCACCCGTACACTGTACAGGTTTGATAAGGAGGACAAGTTAACGGAGGACTCGGAGGATTACCCCTGACTTACTCCAAGGCAGAGGTACGTTTTGGAGAAAACGGGGGTTGTTAACTCAGACTGGGTGTTTTGTTGGGCGAGGTAAGTGTTTTGTAGCTGTCGTTTCGTTTTTGCTCTTAAAGAGCCCGCATCTGTCGGAGGACCTACGGGTGCAAAGACAGGACATCTGGGATGTTCTTTAAACTCTCTGGGGGGGAGAAAAGGGTGCAAACGGAGAAATAAGACTGGCAAGGGGTCTCTAACCCTGAAGCCGAGTGCAGGCAAAGTCATGACGTGACTGAGCTCGGATGTTCCCATGATACTCAGACTTTTAAATTAATTCTAAAAGGGCTAGAAGACCAAGGACGTGCATCGGGGGGAGCGGGGGAAGCAGGCCCAGAGGGGCACAGTGGGGAAGGACGGGCATGGTCCTCCCCACGGAGGGCAGCCGGGTCAGAGTGAGCACGGAGCCCCCACGACTCAGTGTCCTCCTTGGTAACCAAGGCCATCCCGGCCTGCCTGCACGGAGCTTCTCTTCTCTCTCCTCTGGGTGATCTTACATTAATGCGTAGGGGGAGGCCAAGAGACTTTAAAAACCCTCCCCCCAACCATGGGGTGCAGGTCCCCGTGGCCCTCCTCGAGGATGACTGCGGGATGCCGGCCCCCAGGCCGAGACCCAGCGCCCGTTCTGTACGGGAAGTTTTACCGGCATGTGGCCACACCCACTCACTTCCATACTGGCTGGCCGCCTTCCCGCTGCAACGGCACAGGGTCTGCAAAGCCAAAAATATCTCCCCTCTGGCCTCTACAGTAAAAAACACATTTGCTGACTCCACGCCGGCGTAACACCCGGCACGAAAACACACCAACAGCAGCATGAAAGCCAAGTCCATGCTTTATTTCTCGGGTGCCCTACAGGAAAACCCCCGGGGAAGGAGTGTCTCGGCAAGCAAACCTCGGGCCCCGTGTGCTCAAAGGTGAGTTTTATTTAACCCAAATAATGCTTTATTAAACACAACAGGGTACCAATAGTGAAAAAGTGGAAGATTTCCCCTAAGAACCCAGATTCTCAGCTTTTCCCCCCACAACTGACACACATCACACCCTCCTCTGTGGTCCTGCCAGCCTGGCCCCGTGACGCCCACCCCGTCTACAGCTTCTCGCTTGAGGCCCCTGCGGACCACCCAGGAACAGGGCAGGGGGCCAGGACGCTGGGGGAGTGAGGGGGCTGGGCTGTGAGGGTGCAGAGGACGGGCAGGCAGAGAGAAGTGGCCCCAAAGGGCACCCATGACCCTCTGGAGGAAGGAGGCATCAGTCCCGAGCCACAGGAGCAGGGGAGAAAGAAGCCGGGGTCCAGGAGGGCTACGGGACCAGCTGAGACCTGCCCGAGGCCACCTCACCTGGGTTCTCGTGACTGGCCATCTGCTGGTCCTCGGAATCCAGCGGCCCCGGAGACCAGGCCTCTTCCCGCAGCTCCATGTCTGGGTCCCTGTGAGAAGGGGAGGAGATGGAAGGACAGAGTTTACAGGACGCCAGACTAGACGGAGGGCCCCAGGACGGCGGGCACCACGTCGGCTCCAACCCATGCTTGAGCTCCGAGCACCCAGCTCGGCCCTGGCAGGCCAAAGGCGCACGCAGCAGGTCCCTGAGGGGCAACAGGGAAACGGCCTGCACCTCCGCCTGCACGGGACACCAGCCCAAGGCCACGCACCACCTGGGGAAGGAAGACTGCACCGGGGCTACAGCCACCCGGCCAGGCTCCTGTCCCAGCTCCACCACTCACCAGCCAGAGCCCAGGGGGACACTCCATCCCCTGCCTCAGCCTCCCCCGCCGCCGCCCGGCGCCCAGATTGCCAACACCGCAGACACGTCTGATGTGCCATGAGGTTGAAACAAGACGAAGCACAGAGGCAGCTCTAGCGCCAGAGCCCACCCCCGACGGAACAGTGAAGCCGACTGACACGGGAACGCAAGCCCTCTAAGGGGTTCACGCATTCAGGTCTCCGAGCAGGACCCCACACTGGGGTCCGGGGGAAAGGAACCGACCCTCCAGGGTTATCTGCACCCAGAGAGGCAGCCAGACAACCTCGGCTTCTGGGGAGGGAGGGGCAGGCAGAGCACTTTCTGCGGCCTCTGTCCCTGTGGATTTGCCAGATCTGGAGGCTTCAGGAAATGGAACGCTATGTCACTGGGTGTTTTGTGTGTCTTCTCTCACTCAGTGTAATGTTTTCAGGGCTCGTCCGCACGGTAACACGTGTCCGAATTTCCTTCCTTTTCACGGCTGTACAACACTTCACTGTATGGATGGACCACATTCTGTGTGTCAGTTCACCCGCCGACGCAGATGGGCGTCTAGGCTGTTTCCACCTCGGGGCTGAGGAGTAAAGCCGCTATGAACAGCCTGAGTGCACGTATCGCATGGACATGTTTTCATCTCTCCACTGCCCATGCCACCCCATGCAACGGGCCGTGCTGGGGAGAAACCTCTCACCTCACTGGCCTCAAGGGACAGGTTCCCACCCACTCACCAGCATCCTGGGAGCAATGCCATTTGGCAGGGCCTGGCTCTTGGGGCAGACAGCCCAGGCCTCCCCGTACTGCCCCTTCGGGCCTCCATGCTACCCTGAGGCGAGGAGCTGGGCAGGGATCTCCCCTGTGTTTGGAGTTGGCAGGCAGCATAGGGAGACCTAGGCAGGCACCCGGCCCCAGGTGGGTTCGTCAGTTCTGCGCCGCACCAGAGCCTGGCACTGGGGGGACCCTTGCTGTGGCGTCACTCTCTGGCAGGAAGCCTGCAGGTGGGCAGGACTCCTGGTAAGCAGCTACGCAGCATCCCACACACAATCGACTGAGACCTGGTCCCTGAAGCTGAGTGCACGCAGCTCTGAGCAAACCTCCAGAGTCCTGCATCCCCCCTCCTGAGCACCTGCAGACGAGCACCTGCCAATGGCAAGCATCTGCCCGTGGCACAATATGCCAGACCCACTTCTCTTGAATCCCCCACTGACAGGGAGCTCACCACCACCCAGGCACCGAAGGGAACCCATTCCACTGCTGGAGGAGCGTGAACCTGCCCCTCAGTAACCTCCACTGACCTCTGAGAGGAACTCCGAGAACCTGCCTGTAATAAACACTCACAGACACCGTGAGCCATTCCCTCTGCCGACACATTTCCCAGGTGCAGGCCCTGTTCTACGCAGTTAAGACGCCGTTAACGCATTCAGGTGCACCACAGCCCTCTGAGCGGACAACACTGTCACCCATCACGCAGATGAAGAAACTGAGCCATTAAGTGGCCGAGATCTGAAGGCAGATGGCACGCAGAGAACTGCGAACACGGGTCATGCAAGCCGGGTCCTTGGGACCAGGAGACGTGGCAGTGACCAGGGCAAATGCTCACTCAAGCAGCAATGTCCCACAAGCCAAACCTGGATGCCGGGGTCCCATTATCCGGCCGCCGGCCCCGGCTCTGCACACCCTGCACTGACGTGCTGTGAACGGCCACCATCCCCACGTCACAGCAAAGGACATGGGGTCACAGTGAGGTCAAGGAGCAGGGAGAGGATGCCAACAGTGTCGCTGCAGAGTCCTCGGTCCCAACTGCTCTGCCATCCTGACACCCAACCAACCGTCAACAAGGACCTAGAAGAGCACGGGGCACAACCAAACAAAGCCAGGCCTGTCTGGGGGACCAGGAGGCCACACTGGCAGACACTGAACAGGGGACGGGCGGGAGGCGAGGGCCTGGCAGGAAGACTACAAGTGGCCCCTGGTTGGAGCCTGCAGCCAAGGCCCAGGCCTCCTCACGGCAGTCCCTGCCACTGACCACGACAGGGAGCTACCATGGCGTCGCGCCAGGTCGGCAGGACACACCCAGGGGTGCCCTGTGCAGGTTTTCGCTCCCACGCATCGTCACGGCCCCCACCGTGACACAGGAGCACCTGCCCGGCCTGTCACAGGCTCCCCTCCACACAGGGCCCTTATCCGACTGGCTCTTCATGTTGGCCTGATGAAAAGACAAGGCGGGGGTGTCAGCAGCCCCGCAGGTGCTGCCGTATGCAAGATGGCACGATCCTTTCCTCCCCACCGGTCCCCATCACCCCCACCCCACAGGCACGGGGGTCTCCCCAAGGGCCAGGCGTTGCTCGACACCGGGGAATGTGGTGTGGTGAACAGGCCACAGCCCCAGCCGCGTGAGAGAGCCCTGCCAGTGATGAACAAGCATCTGAACGAAAAAGGCCATTTCAGACGATGAAGTTCAAGGAAGATATGCACGGAGGGGAGGGAAGGAGGGGAGGGGTGGGGAGGGCAGCTGCCCCAGGAGGTCAGCGGAGGATCTCCCAGAGGGAAGAGCCACAGAAGCAGGTCTGCACGGGAAGCGTGGAGCGGGAGGGATGCAGGGACAGCAGGTGCAAAGGCTCTGCGGGCCCTGCGGAGAGGCTAGAGATGCAGGGGTGAGAGGGTACTCTCGCAGGGCTTCGAAGGCCAGAGGACGGAGGAGTTGTGTGAAATGTGGTGATCCCTCTGAGGTGGGCGCCACTGCGACGTGTGTTTTACAGACGAGGACACTGGGGCTCACAGACGTAGGTGGGGCCGGTCCTGGAGCTCGCCTGCAGCAACAGCAAGGAGCAACTGGACGGCAGCAGCGAAGGTGGGCAGCCAGGATGCGCTGGCACAGTGCCAGACCCGGGGCCACAGGGACTCCCTGGACCCGGGAGGGTGCGGAGCAGTCTTCCTCCCCGTCTACCCGAGGCATCACCCCCTCAGAGGCCTCCCAGCCCCCAATCTGCCCTACCCTGGGCCTCACTGGGTGCCCAGCACCCACACCGGCGCCAGGCGCCCTCAGGGGCTGAGAACAGGCACATGACGCACCCATGAAGGGGTCGGAACAGAATGGAGGCTCGAGAGACAAATGCAATGCAACTCTGTCCCCCTCGGCCAGCCCACCCTCTGGGACCCCACAGGAAGCCCAGCAAGCCCCCAGCTGAGAGCTGGTGCCACACATAGTTCGGGTGGAGCCTGACAGTCCGGGCTACACCGGCACAATCCGGCCACACAGCTGCGGAGCCACAGACAGGCGCTGGGAGCCCCTGGCCAGGCAACCAACCCCCTTCTCCAGAAGTTAATCTGAGGGGAAACCCAAACCTCAGAAAATACTTCCCGCAGGGGAAAAAAAAGTTCATCACAGCCAGATTTAGAACAGGGAAAAAACTGGAAAGAACCCGTCAGCACCATGTGGGAGAAAGCCCAAGAAAATCCCACAGACGCCACAGCCCCAGAAACAACAGTGTGCCGCCCCCTGCTGATAGCAGGGAGAACGCGTTTAACTTTTTTCATCTTCGTTTTCTCAACTTTTCCAGGTTTTAGAATGAGTAATTACTTCTGTAATAAGGAAAGAGACGAAACGATTCTTTTTTGGACCTCCATAGGACCATGCGTTGCGAAGGGAAAATCACTGGGTGCTGAGGGGGCGATGTGGGGACGCACAGCCCTCGGGTCATACCGGGTAAGCGTGCGGCCGCAGAAACCCTCACGCACGGCTGCTGGGCGCGCAGAACGGCATGGCCACAGTGGCAAACAGCCGGCAGCTCTTCACACGATAAACAGACTAGCTTGTGACGCGGAGACTCCACTCCTAGGTGTACCCCCAGTGATATAAAACCCGCATCCACACGCAGACTCGCACGCGAATGTTCTGGCAGTGCCGGTCAGAGCGCAAACACCAGGGGGAGAAGCCAGTCACAAAGGGCAGCAGAGAGCGGATTCCATCTCTCGGAAACGTCCAGAACAGAGACGGTTGCCGGGGGTTGGGGGTGGGGATGGAGAGGGACTGCTAATGGGTGCAGGGCTTTTTGGGGAGTGATGAGAATACTGTGGAACCAGATGGTGGTGATGGTTGCACAATGTTGTGAATATATTAAAAATCACTAAATTGTACATGTTCAAAGAACGGATTTCACGACATGCAAATTAGATCTCAACTAAAAAGTAAACACACTTTAAGAAATTGTATGGGGCCCTCTGATTACAAGGCCACACCGCTGGATGAAACGTCTCCCCATTTGTGGAGCACTTAACAGAGCCAATTACATCTGCCGGGAAAACAAGGGGCGCCTGGGTGGCTCAGTCGGTTAAGCGCCTGCCTTCGGCTCAGGTCGTGATCCCGGGGACCTGGGATGGAGCCCCGCACCAGGCTCCTTGCTCGGCAGGGAGCCCGCTTCTCCCTCTCCCGCTCCCCACCTCATGCACCCCACCCCCAAATAAATAAAACTTTGAAGAAAAGGAAAAGAAAGAAAAACGAGGTAAGAAAAAGGAAAGACACAGTGCTCACGGGGCTGGGGGCGGCGGGGCTGAGGCGGTGCGCCGGGGCAGCCTGCCCCTCTGCCCTCCTGTGTGTGTGTGGAAACTTGTTTGCTAAGTGGGTGTGCTGTGCTTCCCCTGAACATTAACGTGTAAGTCACTGAGCAGGGACTTCCCAGACCAGAGTCTCTG